AAATGGATGGATATCTGAAATCATGGGAACCTCCAAAGTTAAACCAATAAGAGATCAACAATTTAAACAGACCCATAACATATAAGGAAATCAAAACAGTAATACAAAGCCTCCCAACTAAAAAAAGCCCAGGCCCAGATGGATTTACAGCAGAATTCTACCAGACATGTAAAGAAGACCTCCAACCGATACTACTTAAATTATTCAAAATGATAGAAACAGAGGGAGAATTCCTTCTATGAAGCCAGCATCACTCTAATACCCAAACCAGTATTAGACACAACTAAAAAAGAAAACTGTAGACCCATATCTTTGATGAACATAGATGCAAAATTTCTCAACAAAATACTTGTACACTGTATTTAGACACACATCAAAAAGATCATTCACCATGATCAAGTAGGCTTTATCCCAGAGATGCAGGGATGGTTCAGTATACCCAAGTCAGTAAACGTCATTAATCATATAAATGGACTCAAAGACAAAAAACATACTGTCATCTCCATAGATGCAGAAAAGGCTTTTGACAAAATTCAGCATGCATTTATGTTCAAAGTCCTAGAGGGAACTGGACTGAAGGGAACATACCTCAACATAATTAAAGCCATATGCATCAAATCCACAGCCAACATCATTCTAAATGGAGAAAAACTGGAAGCATTCCCATTAAAATCAGGAACCAGACAAGGCTGTCCACTATCTCCACTCCTTTTCAACATAGTGCTTGAAACTCCTGCTAGAGTAATAAGACAGGAGAAGGAAATTAAAGGAGTAATAATTGGAAGAGGTCAGACTATCACTTTTTGCATATGATATGATAGTATACCTAAGAGATCCCAAAAGTTCCACCAGAAAACTCCTAGAAGTGATCAATACTTTCATTATAGTGGCAGGTTATAAAATCAATCTACAAAAAAACGGTAGCCTTTCTATATACCAATAACAAGCAGTTGGAGAAAGAATACAGGGAAATGCTCCCATTCACCAATAACCTTAACAACAACAAAAATCTCAGGATAAACCTGACA